ATCATCCAGGTGCTGGCTAGACACACACCTGTCTGAGCTCCGGTGCGTTGCCAGCTGTGAGCTGCAGGGGGATACAGCAGCTGGCTTATTTAGACATCTTGATAAGGTCCTGATCTGTGTTCATGTGTGTTGGAAGATCCTTGACAAATGGCACCATTTCTTAGCGGCATTCCTTTACTTTCATGATGAGGCTCAGGTTGTTTGGTAAGAACGACAGAGAGATGTCTAATAATATTTCATATCACCTCATTCTAGGTAAAATAACACGCGTTGCTGCTACAAGCGTTTCTCTGCTGTGTGAATCCGTTCATGACGTTTCAGGTTTCCTGAACGGTTGAAACTCTTCCCACAGTGCTCACAGCAGTACGGTCTATCTCTAGTGTGAATCCGTTCATGATACTTGAGGACTCCTGCCTGACTAAAACTCTTCCCACAATGTTCACAGCAGAAAGGTTTCTCACTGGTGTGAATTCGTTCATGAGTCTTGAGTTTTGTTGCCAAACTGAAGCTCTTTCCACAGTGTTCACAGCAGTACGGTTTCTCTCCTGTGTGAATCTTTTCATGATACTTGAGGGCTCCTGCATGCTTGAAGCTCTTCCCACACTGTTCACACCAGTACAGTCTATCTCCTGTGTGAATCCGTTCATGAATCTTGAGATTTGTTGCCTGATTAAAACTCTTCCCACAGTGTTCACAACAGTACGGTCTCTCACCTGTGTGGATCCGTTCATGATACTTGAGGGCTCCTGCCTGCTTGAAGCTCTTCCCACACTGTTCACACCAGTACGGTCTCTCACCTGTGTGAATCCGTTCATGAATCTTGAGATTTTCTGCTTGATTGAAACTCTTCCCACAGTGCTCACAGCAGTACGGTCTCTCTCCTGTGTGGATACGTTCATGACGCCTGAGAGATGCTGCCACATGAAAACTCTTCCCACACTGTTTACAGCAGTACGGTCTCTCTCCTGTGTGAATCCGTTTGTGACTTCTGAGGGTTCCTGAACGGTTGAAACTCTTCCCACAGAGTTCACAGCAGTACGGTCTCTCTCCTGTGTGAATCCGTTCATGATCCTTGAGAGCTCCTGCCTGATTGAAACTCTTCCCACAATGTTCACAGCAGAGCAGTTTCTCTCCCGTGTGAGTCCGTTTCTTGAGATTCTTGAGATCTTTAGCACAGATGCTCAGTGGTTCCTCAGTCTGTGTTTTAATCTGGTCAGACTCCGGATGGGACACAGTGTCCAGTGCTGCAGTGCTGAGGGACTGAATCCTGGACAGATCTGCAGTGCAGCTGGAGTCCAGATCACTTTCACTCTTCACACTGGGAGACACAACATCTGAACAGGATTCATGAGATTCTTGAAGATCAAGTCCTTGTGTCTCACACTGAGGTTCTGTTTTAAAACTCTCAGATTCCAGTATCTGGA